TGTGAGCTAGGCTGACGCCACGGCACTCTAGCCCAGGCAACACAGGGAGACTCTGTCTCAAAAAAAAAAAAAAAAAGTGGTTATTTTAAACTGAAATAAGATAATCTATGAGTTTCAGGTTTACTAGATGAAAATACATTCTTCTCTTTAGGCCATAAATTTCTCTCAAAAAATCTTAAGTATGCAGTTCTTCTCTCTCTGTAAGTGATACTAATTCCTTATAAGTACAGATAAGACTTCTTGGAGATTGGTTTAAAAAAATTATAGACTTAAAATCTTAAGTCCAATTCAGTATATACCTTACCAAGGACAGACTTTCCTACTTTGTCATCTCTGGTTGATGTTTGCTCAAATATTTTTAGTGATAGCTTGTTCCATTTTTAGACAGCTATAGTTTGTTACTGAGCTGATATGTGTTGTTTCATAATTCTCTATTAATTCTGCTCTTGGAACCACAGAAAATTAAGTCTCATGCCTCTCCCTGATGACATTTTTAATAACTATTTGAAGATAGCTATCAAATGTTGACATTTCTTTCTCTTTTCTAAGCTAAACTATTTCTCCCCTGCTGCCCCCCAGTTATATCTGTATCTCATTATGTTCTGATTTTCATTTCCTTTCCCAGACTGAATTTTGTTGTTCATGTGGTTTGGTAGTGCAAAATTCATTGAAACAGTCACTTTCTCTGGTATGGATATTGTACTTTTATAAATAAGTACTCATACCAGCCATGCTCTGACTCATACTGAACTGGAAAGTAGCTTAGACGTCCTCTTCCTATTCCGTACTTTTACAGTTTAGTTTTGAATGAACCTAAAAGCAGAACTTTGCACTTCTCTCCATTACATTTAACCTTATTTGGATTAGCCCATTCTTCTGGTTTCAAGATACCTTTCTGAGTCATTATAGGTCGTCTCAATTTTTATTGACTACTCAGTTTTATGTAATCTGATTAGCATGCCTCTAGATTTTCATCTAAGTGACTGATTTAATGTTTAATAGGGCAAGACTGGGCCAGGTGCAGTGGCTTGGGCCTGTAATCCTAGCACTCTGGGAGGTTGAGGTGGGAGAATCCGTTGAGCTCAGAAGTTCCAGACCAGCCTAAGCAAGAGTGAGACCCCGTCTCTATAAAAAATAGAAAAATTAGCTGGGCTTGGTGGTGTGTGCCTGTAGTCCCAGCTGCTCGGCAGGCTGAGGCAGGAGGGTAGTTTGAGCCCAGGAGTTTGAGACTGCTGTGAGCTACGATGACACCACTGCACTCTAGCCTGGGCGACAGAGTAGAGACTCTGTTTCAACAACAACAACAAAAAAAAGAAAGAAAAATATGATGAGGCTGATTGTTCCTGTGTGGCACACCACTGCAGACCATTCATTTACTGAGGGTCATTTTTTATTTCAACAATTTGTAGTTGTCATAATTGACTGTTTTTTATTTTCTCTTGTAAAAATTGGAGCAGCTTTTGCTTGTCTTTTTTTTCTA